ATTTTTTTTTTTTTTTTTGTGGGGGGGGGGGGGGAATTTCTCTGCGAGAAGAAAACAGTAGGGTGATGCTGGAGTAAATTGATCTGAATTCCAGATCAGCGATCAAGGAAGTAGCAGATATGTTTGGGGCTGTTCAACCCAAGAGTCTACTATCATCAAGTGAAGAAGAGTTATTGGTGTCCGTTCAAAAACTAACGTCTTTCTATGATGATTTATCAGACGTTGAATATTGAAAAGAAATACTTAGGCTTAGAAGTCACTTAAGGCACCTGATATTGAGACACGATGAAAGATATTTATTTGATCAAGTGATTGACAGGTTTGAAGAAAAGGAACATTTTTAATAAATTAAATTTAATGTAAAATAACTATAACTTAACGTTGTTACAGTTGTTGAATGCATTGACCCCTAACCTTCAAATAATTTATTTTTGTCATTGTTATAATGTGGACTTATTTTAACAAGACTTAACCCATTGTGGAAGTCGTGGTGGTGTGACATCATGAGTTTACCAGACCGGGTGACACCCACCCTAGCCACGCCACTGCTAACAGTAACAACAATTTAACAACATATTCATATGTCAATTCAATCACACACATAAGATGAGAAGCAATGCCATAATAAAATATTCAGGAGGGTTTATCTTTTGGGTAGGGAGGTTTAATTTGAGGTTTAATTAAATTGATATGTACTGTGGCATCTAAAGTAATAAACAACATTGCCGGTCGAACAAGTTTTGGCTTTGCCGCCCCTAAAAAAACGTGAAACGATGCCCATGGGGTTGATATGTTACCCTACACCCCACTCCAGAAACCCTTGCAAAACAAATAATCTAACAATGTTTATAGCTGTGTTTCCCAACGTGGGGCCAACGCCGCACAAGGGGGGGGGGGGGGGGGGGTGAATTGGATTTCTTAGCGGGGCTATTCGAAAATGAGTTATATAGAATTTGAAAACCATCCGTCATTAACGAAAAATTTGGAAAAAGAGCAGCTTTAACGTCTTTGTATACTGCTCCTATCGCAACAGTCAATCATACTCTTAAGGCTACCTATGAAATTTCTTCACTCATAGATAAATCTGGGGAAAATCATACTATAGGAAAGAATTTAATCAAACCATCAATATCAGCATTTTGTAAAACTGTTCTGGAAAAAGAAGACAAAGACGTGAAAGCAGTGCCACTCAGTAACAATGCTGTTGTTGTTGTTGTTTTCAACAAAAGGAGATGAAGATTTGGAACTACAACTTGTTGAAAAGCTGAAAATAAAAATTTCTCCGTGCAAATAGATGAATCAATTTT